GCACGGTCACTTGTTGCAGTGACAGTATTCATGTTTCTGGCCAGAAAAGTCGGAGGCATGCCCAGGCCTTTACTTTGTCCTGCCTTTCTCGGAATAGTCTTGGATGTTGAGGTTTATGGACACGAGGAGTTCTGAACCCGGTTGCTGCTTATTGGTCCCTTTTGAGTTAGCTTTTGTGGCCAGCTCGGTCCTTGTGCAGGGAGAAGAGTCGTGGACTCCGAGCTGCAACCTCGATTCAGCGACAGAGAGTTGCGAGTGTTGATGAGAGAGTGGGTCATTTCACAGAATGGGAAACAGGTCCTCCTGCACAACGCCGCCAGAAGACCTTTGCCAGCATTGCCTGGCAAGATTCCAGGCAATATGGGGCAAGAAATGGCAAGACTTGTAAAGAATCATGAGTTGCAAGGCAGCCGTTGCTTTTGCGAGTCAGTCATTCTAGTGGTGAAGGCGGTCTTCACAAATCATTTTCGCACTCAAGCAGTAGTACGCGCGGGAGAGCTTATGTGGTGTATTTGCAGGCTTGCTGTTCCCAGCGATGCGAGCACGGGTATCAGCTGCTCGGCACTGCTTGTCGAACCTCAATAGTTGACAACCTTTGAGCTGCCTTTGGGACGATTCACTGATTTTCTCAAACTGCAAATGCAGTGGAAGGTTAGTTGAGCAGATGACAGGGATTTTCAATTAGCCTGAAGTCTAATTGGCTTAGACTCCATCCTGTGTCCTGGTGCTCTAATCTCTCTTTCCTTGACACTTGATACACGGAAGTGAATGGTGGTGGGACCACTATACAAAGACAAATAATCGGACAAGATGATGCCCGAGCAGCGATAAATCTGAATACATGTTAGGCTAGGACCACTAAGGTTTCTTCACATTATTCTTCAAATTGGTTGCTGTTCCTTTTTGAAAGAAGAGTATTCACAGCAAGACAGCACAACAGCTGCCGGAGCGTTCGTTTTTCCCAACCTTCGAAAGCAAGATTTGCGCCGCAGTCTCGAGGCCAAGAGGGCTTGACTGCCTTTTTGTTTTCGGCCGATTCGGAAAGTAAATTTGGAGCAGAATGCAGTGTTGCGGTGACTTTCGACGGTGTAGGTAGCGGAAGTAGCGCAAGCAGCGGGAGCAGTTCGCGTTTCCCAGAGACTTGGTTTGAGCTGGGTGGGTTCGGTAGCAATGGCATTCCTTCAGCGTCTTGCGGCTGTCCTGCAGGGCGTGGGAGTTACTGTAACTAGCGCTTCTATCAGCAAACCGTCAACAGCCATGAACAGGTGGTTTCTTTGCCTGCGGTGGACATCCGTTTTCTATCATTAGACTCATTAGACGGACACAGCTTTGGTGCTAAGGATACTGGCTGGGCCGATGCAATGTTTCAACATTTTAGACAGAGACTCGGCTGCGGAATTGGTAGGGCCCCAGAGAAGGGTGTTTCTTCGTGGTGATCAGTTCTGTTGCAGCAGCCTGGACCAGACTTCTAGCCCAATGTAGCTGTTGAATGGGCAGATCAACAACAGAGCATGTTTGAGATAGTCTTATATAAGACTTAAGACAGTTGGCGCTCCTTACTAACGATGCTTCACCACTTTCCAAATCCTTTGCATGAAGGACAGGTGCTTCAATCCTTTTTGGCAAGCGCTTTTATGTTCACCACTGAGGCCTCTTGAAGAGGCTGCAAAGACAGGACACGGATTTGGTGTTCTGTGGTTTTCTGGTAACAGTTGTAATCACCAGCCGAATAGTCCCTTGTGCGCAGGGCTCGGCTCCCGAGCGATAAAGCTTGGGACGGACTGCTCTGGCGCTGAGGCTATGAACTGCCCAGAGTTGGATTCGGGCATTTTCCGTCTTCAACAACATCAGAACGACAGCAAGAGGCCATTGCTGTCTTGCTTTTCAGGCACCATGGTTTGCGCTGAAGGCCATTTGCAGCGAGCTAGTCGGAACCCCAGGCACCTTGCACTTGAGGAAGCATGCTTTCATTCACCTGTTTGTTGGCCTCCAGAGCGAACAGATGATACACGGTTCTGAAAAGTAAGTTTTTCTAGGAATGACAGACACTTTAGGGAGCGAAACTACATCTTCGCATCCTTCTTTGCACCACGCAATACTTCATCTCAGCTCATTCTATCTCAACGATTGAATGACTTGCAAGTAGGTTTTTGACCCTTCGAAGAATCAAGTCCCTTCGCCGAATCGATATTTCCAGACAGTTGGAAGGGTTTGCATGTGGCCAAGTCCCCCAAAACGATCCTCGAGGAGGACCGCTGCCTCACAGGCCTCACAGCTTGCCGTGAACCTGAAGGTGCAGCATCAGTTTGCTCGAGACTTAGCTCCACGAGCTCAAGCGATAGAAAAGACATCCGACCTGTGCAATGCTACGAGGACGGCTTTCCCGACATCTTTGCTGCATAAGATCATAAATCATGCCGCTTTCTTTTGAAACATTAGATTTGCCAGTGTGTCTTGTCGAATCCTCAGTCAAATGTATAATATACATTTGGTCATATGGTGGATTGTGGGTGCAGAGGGAGTTCGAATCGATCAGTTGTGGACAGACGAAGCATAACCGCATCGCCAGCCAACTTCACAGGCATGTGACATCCTGCCGATCTCCCAACATTTCATCGTCGGGAGCCGCAGTTGTGCTGGCAACGAAGAAGTTGGGACCCAAAGAAGTGGTCCTTGTCCTAAAAACCTGAGGGCCAGGTCAGGTACATGCAGCATCGCTGGTTGAGTTCAAGCAATTGGTACTTTCTGGACAAGCAACAAAGGAATTGCAGTTTCTGCAGCTGCAGAATTAAAGTATATATATATATACTTTCAATTGTATCATGTGTTATGGCATATGCCTTTGACCCGTTGTGTGTACTTGTCACTTGTCTTTGGATTTGGTGTGGTCAGGTTCAGAACTCCAAGCCCATGTTTCTGTTTGAAGACTTGCGGGAAAGAACGGACGTGGGCTATTGTTGGACCCTTAGCCTTAGTGGGCAACAGACGTGTCCTAGATTCTGTTGGTTTGCTGCCAAAGTTGGTGATCCATCTGGCACATTCTGCCTACCAGCTTCGCCCCCTAGGTTTGCAGTCTGAGATGATGATGCCAGTGCCTAGCCACCTGGACCTCTATGTTGCTGGCTTTCCTTGCAAGGAGCTATGATTTTCAATGACAAGCTTTCCGCTTCTGATATCCATGTCAACCTGCGTCATTGAAGTCACTGTCAATCTTACTGTACATACAGGACAGTGACTGTTAGTGACTGTTCTACAGGACAGTGTCCGCCCGCCCTTCTTCGCAGGACTTTTCCATCTTGAACTCCAAGCGTCCGTGCTTGCAAGGTCCACATGCAGCGACCTTTCATGGTGTAGCGCGGCTTCCCAGCGGTTTGGAGGAAGAGTAGACTTCACGGCTTGAAGGTGTTCGTGTACCATGATCGAAGTCCAGAAAACTTGAGCAATGGCAAGCAAGTAAGTAGACTCTACTCGGAAAGGCTGCAGCTCTATATACTCGGAAAGTAATTATGAACTGCATATTTGCTCTTTTGCATTGGTCCCTTGGTGCGATCAGCTCAATCTTTCTTTTTTAAATTCACACTTGCATGTAGCTTGCGGATGCAAGTTTTATGTTCACTGAAGTTCACAAAATGTCCCACCGGGACATTTTGGCTCAAGTTGGTGGCAATCATCCACAGGATTGCACCTGAACTTTGGAAGAAAACTCCCCAGTACATCGGTTTTTTTAGTTCAACACGACGCAATGGCGCACCCGATGGAAGCGGAGTATGTCATGATTGAGTCTGTTCGTGATGCCCAAGATGTTGAGGATGCGGCTACGGTCAGTAGCCCGGGCATTGAGAGCTTGGACCAGGCAGCGGACGCTGCGTCTGCAGCCCTCCGTCATGCGGAGGCGGAAGGAGCGAGAGGCCTCGCCATTTTTGGACAGCCCGTTTTGGCTTCTGAGCTGGACGCTCAGGCGCAGATTCGAGAGTTGGAGCGCCACCTGGAAGCACTCAAGGTCCAGATCGCGGAGCGCGAAGACGCGGACATGGGCGTGGACCTCCTGGGGTTAGAGGACCCTGCTGATGGCGGCGCTGGCCCACCCCCCTCTGCTCCTGGTGCCTCTGGCCCAGCGGCGGGGGGGGGCACCTGCAGCAGCGGCGGCACCGACCACGAGCCCTACTACACCATCGGCGGCGGCGGCCCAGCCTACACTTCTGACAACCCTGGCGGAACCACCGCTGGCCTGGCCTGTAGCGGTGGAGCCACGACCAGCTGCCCCCGCTGAACAGGTGGAGGAGGACACCACTGAGCGCGCGGGATTAGGTTTCACGCCCCCTGCACCGGCAGGGTATTTTAGTGATCCGGTAGATGCCATGGCGTCGGCTTCCTCGCCTTCTACGCCCCCGGCAAAGGCCCAGGCACCAGAGCCTCCACGGCCGAGCAAGAGACCGGCTCCGCAGCCCATGGAGGAGCCCACATCCAAGACACCTACCTTGCCGGGTTTCACAAGGGCCTCTGGAGCTACCCTGGGCGCGGTCCCCATGCCAATCAGGTTCATCCCAGTGCGGGAACCCGAGAACCGCGTCCGGTTTGCCATGTTCCCGGACTCCTTTCCGGCCATTCCGGGACACTTGGCGGGGCTCCTCACCTCGTGCACAGAGAAGGAGATGGTCCAGCTCTTTGACCAGTTCACGGGCTACCCCCTCTCCACGCCGGTGGTCACTCGCATCATCGAGCAATACATCCCCCTGCGGGCTCTGGCCATGCAGGAGAAGGTCTGGACACAGAGGTACCAGAAGACCACCGACAAGTCCGGCCTGACAGACCAGCGGGGCCTCCACCTGCCTGCAGGTGACATGCCCTTCCACTCCATGTGTGGCAAATGCATGACGCCCTGGCCTGACAATGCCTCCAGGTGCTGGACCTGCAAGCACGACCAAGCTACTCTACGAGGCGGGCAGGTCTGGCGACGCGCTGCTCCTGTCCGGTCTACCCCAGGCGCCCCTGGCCCTGAGGCGGCAACTTGCACTGAGGAAGAGCGGACCTTTGCGGACGAGGTCCCCTCCGTCTGCAGGGTCCACATTCGGCAGGAGATCCTGTCGGCTGACTCCGAGGAGGATGCTGCGGAGACCACGGAGGCCCATCGCAGAAGGCTGGATGAGCAACAACCTTCACAGTCCTTCCAGATCTTCCACCCGGAGGCGGCCAAGGCCCTTCGCATTCAATCGGAGGCCCTTCAGGGCCTCTCAGCAGCCGACCTCAAGGCGGAGCGCGCCCAATCCGAGGAGGCCGAACGGGAGGAGAAGGCGGACCATGTGGCCCAGTAGGCCACGGTCTTGGCACCCATCCAGGAGGGCATGCAGTCGGTCCCGGACAGCCCAACCTCATGGACTTCAAAGCTGCCCTGAAGAAGTGGAGAATAAAAAGATCCAAGACCAGGGCACGGCCTTCATGGAAAAGTTCGCCCTCAACCCTGTGGAGCTCTCGGCCTGGCCGGATGACCTCAAACGGAAGCTGGAAAGGGGCCTCTTTTGTCCGACGGCCTCCCTGGACTGGCACCAGGTCCCGGACCCCTCGGACATGTTGCAGCACTACCTCCCGGCCATGAGGCACGGTGGCCACCGCGGCATCTGGGGAGGCTTCAACTCCTGGTGCCATTGGCCCAGCGGTGACCGGCCCTGGCCTGGCGACCCTCAATGAGATCGACGAGGAGGCGAGGAAGCTGGCCATGTTGCTTTGGGCTTTGAAGGTGCACCGTGGTGAACTCCGCATGTTTGGCGGGGTCTGGCGCCGGGTGCCTGAGTTTAGTCCGCCGCTCCCGGACTGGGCACAGCCAAAACCTGGGGCACTCTCAGTCAAGGAGGTGGACCGATACCGGGCATTGGAGAGGCGGACTCACCCAAGTTCCTTCGGCTCGGACATGGTGGAGCCCTTCCACTACACAGATCAGGAGGTGGAAGCACGCAGGCAGGAAGGGACTCGGCCGCCACTGGACCCCAATCCTTTCGATTTGGTGGGCCCATGACACCGCCAAGGATGAGAAGTGGCGACGGGAGAGCCGCACGTGGGACCTGAAGTCCCTCATCCACATCTACTCGATGCGGTACACCTTCAAGTACATCTACAGCCTATATGGTGCAGTCTCCCTTTGGCCATTGAAGCCAAGCAGCGAGGCAAAGATGCTCCGGGATCCGCCACAAAGACCCGGAACCTGAGGCGCTCTGAGGCCCGTAAGGAGGCCAGCTCATTTCTTGCTGCCCTGGGCCTGGACAAGCCCGCGGACAAGGACGAATGGCGCACGGTGCTCCGCGAGATGGGCTCCTTCCTGGCAACCAAGGTCTTCCTGACCAACTGCCCCGCGCCAGTGATGGAGATGCCCGTGGCCCCGGTGCACAACAGCAAAGAGGCCATGCGCTTCAGGGCAATCTGCGATGAGCGGATCACCATCCCCGCTGGACGCCTTGAAGCAGTTCCCGGAAGTGCACTCGAAACTGGTGGGCCAACTCCCACAGTCGGCCATGGTAGATGTCAAGGTCAACTGGCGCTGCAATGTCACCCACACCTGGGCGGCTGAGGTCCCGGCCTCGGAGGCCTACTCCCTCTATGCCAAGCTGCGCTACTCCCATGATACCATTCTGGCACTGGGGTGCACCCCACCCCCAGGTGCCTCTGGCCCTGAGGGGGGCCCTGCCCCCATCCAGCGCGACAAATCCAGGGAGCGGGTGGCAAACAACATGGATGTGGGCATTCAGCAGCTGGACCATGGCAGCGAGACCCTGCCTCCTCCGGCGGCCCCGGCCAATGTGACTCCTCGTTACCCGCGCCTCACAGCCAGCAATGTCACCTCCATTGTGGGCAAAGACTGGCGCAAGAAGCACTACCCGGGCGCCAGCAAGGACCGCCACTTCTTTTGGGGCGAGGCCGAGTGCGGCCTGATCCTTCCCAGCATCTGGGAGGTCGTCACCAAGGAGAAGGGAGGGCTACATGTGCAGATATTGCCAGGGCTTTTGGAAGGCCTCCAGGGGAGGCAGCCGCTTCTTGCAGATCACCGGTGAACAGCGGGGATCCCTGGCCTCCCTCCAGCTGGTGCTGGACGAGCCACCTGAGGCCTTCTACAACAAGTGGATCAAGGAACGCATGGAGTTCTACAAGCGGGTGGAGCCCTGCGCTGCCCCCAGGGATGAGCGCCTGGAGCTGGTGGGCAAGATGAACCATCGCCTGCGGTTCAGCGCCAGCAACAACCTTGGGGCAGTGTCCGATGCTATCTGGCAGGTCATCCTGAGCAACGAAGAGATGAAGGGCATCCGGGCGATCCAGCAAGTGGCCCAGAAGGTCACAGCAGCGGCCTGAGGGGCTGCCAAGTGAGCGAGGGTGCCGCGGGTGACTCGGCTTAGACCGTTTTGTCTCACCCCATTTTGCATCCATTTTGAGCTCTCTGCACATCCGTGCTTGGACGCCGTAAGTGTCCTCCCCCAGGTCCAGGTGCCCATTGGCCCTGAACCGGGGGGAGCGCCCGGTGGTGGCCATGGTGCGGCGCCTAGACGACCGACTCGTTGCGCAAAAAGAGACCCGTTTTGGAGCCTTGCTTTACCATGCATGTCGAGCTGTTGTGTGAGGACTGTCATGTACTCGGAATTTGAGTCTGCTAGGAGTACTTCTCACCTCCCCCTCTTTCCTTCCCCTCGGACTACCGGGATTTTGCACCCCCTTGCTTCGGTGAATTTAGGCTTCTTTGGGGAAGCCGGCTCGTTTTGGCGGTCTCGTGACGCCATGAATTTTACTAGTGAGGCTTTCCTGAATCGCACACCCTACTGTCGTGCTTGGGACTCGCTGCCCCGCCATATTTTTGATACCTTGGTGGATGAGGGATTTGCCCCCCGCCAAACTGATGGCGAGTGGCTTGCTTGCGGGTGGGCAACCCGGACGAGTCCCTGGAACTTGGGGGCCAACCTGCGGCGGCCTTCAGGCCTCTGGTGTGGGGCTACGACCCTGATGATCCGGATATTCACATGGTCGCGGAGGACTACCTGATCGGCGGCCGCAGCTCGCCTCCCCCAACCAGTGGACCAGGATGACTTGGAGAAGATCAGATCCACCTTGTGGGACCTGCTGATCAAGGTCACTCAGGGGCCCATGTCCTCGACTTACGGCCCGCTCCAGTACACTTACGATCGGCGAGACATGCAGACATGGCACAACCGTAAGAGCCCTCCTCCCTTGCTCCAACCGAGGCACTGGCGCCCAGGACAAGTGGCCACGCTGGAACCTACTACTCAGAAACCTCTGGAGCTCCATCTACGCAGCCGACGGGCAGAACGCCTCACTGCCCATTTTGCACCCTATGCAGAACACCTCCCAAACCTGGAGGCTGTCACGCGGGACTCCGACTTCCGCATGGAGTTGAAGCACCTCCTGGGCGATGCCAGGTTCCGCTCCATCAGGCAACACTGCTTGGTCTACGAAAACCTCCGCAAACGGGGCTTTGTGGCGATTCCATGGAGGGAGTCGGACGTGCGGGCCCTGCTGAACAAGTTGCAGGCAGATGAGATCTCACCCTACAAACTCCAACAGATATGGCAGACACTGAACTGGTTGTCCAAGATCTTTGGCCTCCTTAAGGTGGACGAACACCAGCGCCTTGTCACCAAGAAGAAGGCCCTGGAGGAGGAGCTCGCTCCCACGGTGGTTCGTCCCCAGAAGAAAGCTGCAGTCCCTTCACGGGAAGTGATCTGGGCACTGGAGGAAGGAGCGGCGCTTGGGGGACCCCCCTGGTGCCCCTGACCCAGCGACCCTGGCGCCTGCGGCCCCTCGCCGGGAGCGCCATGAGCAGCTGGACGCGTTCATCCTGGGCTTTGCCGATTCCAGGTTGGCTGCAGTGCTCGCTTCGATGACCTACAGCATGTCCGCCCGGAGGAACTCCGGACCACCTCCAACACCATTGAACTTCAGGCCTGGCAGACTAAGGTGGCCCGTGCAGCCCGTATCCGAACGAAACCAGTTCCGCTGATATGCCCGAAGTACAGCTTCTCTGGAGCACCTTGGTACCTTCAGTTTGTTTCCACGGTGCGGGAGCTCCCAATGCTCAAGGCCTTTGAGGGCATGGACTATCTCCTCCCCACGATCAGTAAAGACTTTGCAGGACTGATCCCGCGCCCCCCGGGAGGTGACCGAACCCTGCGTTGGCTCAAAGATGCCCTCCGACGTCGGGGGGTGGCCCAGGAACACGTCACGCCCCTCGCCTGGCACTCCTTCCGGGTCTTCATTCCGGACTGTGCCTTCCAACTTGGGGTTCCCCGTTCCGAACGGCAGTACCTGGGGAACTGGATGACTGAGTCGACAGCCGACGTCTATAACCGGGAGAAGAGAAATGTCGTCACTGCCATCTGGACCAAGGTGGCGGACAAGGTGAACTCTCTCAAGATGACACTGGGCCGGGAGCGCAGGGAGGACCTTAACCATGGGGACTGGGATGACCCAGTGACGGAGGTGGTGGACGCAGACGAGCGGCCCCCGGGCTCACCGCCGCAGTCCACACGACGCTCCATGGCTGACGCCCCGCCTTTGGACGCGGGTTCCCCACAGCCGGACCAGGTCACCCCTGGCACCACTGGTTCGTGGGATGTTGTGGAAGGTGAAGACAATGGTTTGGGTCACTTCCTTGCCCAGCCCAGCGACCAGGATGACTCCTACCAGTTGGCGCCCCAGAAGCACCCAGGTGACTGTGCTGACACCAGGGGAGTATTGGGCCAACCCCACGGGCTATGGCAAGTGCGCACGGTGCTTTGCCAAGGGTGACCTCCCCAAATCGTGGTTCGTGAGCCGCCATGGCACAGTGGAAGGGAAGGACATCCCTGACCTCGAGGTAGACACGGGGAGCTCGGCCACATCGGGCTCGGAGACGACACCCAGTCGGAAGCTGATGCCGTGCCACTGCCGAAGGTGCTCCCGGTTGAATCCATTTGAGGCATTCCGCTTTCGGCTGCCTCTACGTCCTGACCCACGGCCAGGCGCCCCTTGGCCCTGGAATCACACCTCGGCCTGCCTGCATCCTTCGGAAATGGCGGGTGTGCCAGGCAGACCTCCGGACTGGGCCTTGCCCCCCTGGCGAAGTCCAGGGCAGTTTGAAATGGACCAAGTGATACAGGGTCTGGGGGAGGACCCCAGCATCAACCAAAGCGCATTGGAAAAAGCCTGCGCGCAGCTTTTTGCGCTCTTGGGATCTTTTTGACTTCTGGGTACATATTCACACTTGCATGTAGCTTGCGGATGCAAGTTTTATGTTCACTGAAGTTCACAAAATGTCCCACCAGGACATTTTGGCTCAAGTTGGTGGCAATCATCCACAGGATTGCGCCTGAACTTTGGAAGAAAACCCACCCAACCCGCCCATGATGGCAGCACCGCCTGGCGGTGCAGGTGGTGGAGGGGGGGCAGGTGGCCCCCCCCCAGCGGAACCAGTCAAACCCCCCGGAGGCACCTGATGCCCTCCAACCACATCTTGACCTCTTGACGAAACCGCTTGCTCTCATCCTGGTTGCCAAACAAATCCCCTGGGTGGTTCAGGCGAAACTGGCCCAGGAGGGCTATGTGACGGTGGAGGACTTGGGGGACCGTTGGAACACCCCGGAGGATGCACGGGCCCAAATCCCCAGGATCTGGAGTTCCAGGAGGGGGAGAACAACTTCACCCTGCCCATCTCAGACGATCTCTCGATCCACGATCCCTTGATGCGCCTTCAGGTGGCCTTCAAGACCAGACCACTACGTGACGGGGGAGGCAAACCATCCTGGGGCCGGATGGCCGCATGGGCCCGACCTGCCTCCACATTGGCCCGCGTAGGAGCCAAGATCCTGGCACTGACCACTCCATTCACCGACCAAGTCATGTGGTCGATTACGCGCGGGTCCAAACAACACCCATATCCGGACCCACTGCTGGAGGATATCAGGCAGGTCCTCCACCCCGGCCACCAACATACTACACCAGACGGGCAACCCTTCTGCCTGGAGCTGATCTCGCAGCTCGCAAACACAGCTGGGGACCCAGACTGGCAGTACCCTCAGATCCTCGCTACAGGCGTTTTTGTGGGGGTCTCGGACCCCACCCTCCCTTCACCGGCCTCTCAAGAGTGAACTTGCGGGAGAAGACCCAGTGGAAGCTCCACTGGATGACCCCAAGGGACACCACAATTACCCATCGGCAGCAGACTTCTCCAGAGAGATTCGGGCCACCTTCGCAGAGGAAGTCGCAATGGGCATGACGGTTGGCCCGCTGTCTCAACAACAAGCGGCTGAACTCTGTGGATGTGACCCGACAGAGCTCTGCCCAGGCCCCCTGGCGGGAATTGATGAGGGGGATAAGGTCCGCACCATCTACGATGGATCGGTCGGTGGAGCGAACGCCAAGATCCAACAAAACACTAAGGAGCGGACCACAGCGCCCACAGTTCTGGACTGTGTCCACGCAATCCACTGGCTCCAGGCCGCCAGACATACCGAGGCCTCCTAGCCCAGGAGCCTTTGGCCCTGAGCGGGCAGAGGGCCTGGACGACCCAACCCCAGCCTGGGATTGGCCCACCGAGGACAGCCAATGGATTTTGGTGAAGGCTGATGTAACTAAGGCCCACCGACGAATCAAGGTCCTGCCCCAGGACTGGCGCTTCCAGGTAGCACAGTTAGACAACGAATGGTGGGTCAACAAAGTGGGCACCTATGGCATGGCAAGTGCGCAGCTCTACTGGGGCAGAATGGCGGCCTTGCTCCTACGGATCCTTTATTACCTTTTCCCCCAGATCGACTGGGGCTTTGTCTTCGTCGATGATTTCTGTTGGCTCCTTCGCCTGCCCACGGGACCGCAATTCACCGCGGCTCTCTTGGGCACACTGGTGGGTTTGGGAACGCCCCTTAGCTGGAAGAAGACTCATTTGGCAGAGATCAACACCTGGCTTGGGTTCATGATCCACCCAACCCACCAACCACTCCTGAAGGAGCTTTTCACGCACCCCTTTAAAGCAGTACTCACCCTTCCTGCCAAAGTCGCCTTGGTGGGGATGCAGCGATGCTAGTGCATCGAGGACAGGCGAAGCCTATGTTGGGGGCTGGTGCTCGGCCTCCCCAAACCCCACCAAGGACAAGGTCCTATGGTTCCACTGTGCCATCACAGCAGACGCCCATCCGTGGGCATTCAAGGATGGCAACCCTCAGAAACGCATTGCTGCCCTGGAACTCCTGGGCACGCTACTTCTTTGCAAGCGCCTGCTTCCCCAACAGGGCCAACTGCCGGGAAGAGTTCGCCTCCCGGTGGGCAGTGACAACTCAGGCAACATCTTCAGCCTGCTCAAC